TGCGCTTTACACAATTGATGTGTGTATGGATTGCGATAACAGTTGTATGAACCCCTAATAAAATGTTAAAAAAAAAAAAAAAGCAGTACAGTAGTACTAAGCCTAAGGGCAGCACAACAAAATTCCCCACCTCACTGCCATCGAATCGATGCCATAGACCAAGCAGGGTAGAATTGCCCCTGTGAGTTTATGAGACTGTAACACTTTATGGGAGTAGAAAGCGCAATCTTTTTCCTGAGGAGCAGCTGGTGGATTTGAACTGCTGACCTTCCACTTAACAGCCTAACCCACAACCACTGCTCCACCAGGGACCCAGTACTCAATGCAAGCTGCACAATACTGGGGGAAGTGAGACAGATCGGACTGGGCACTCTGGGCGCTGTTGAGGGGTGACTGGGCACAACAGCCCAATTTCTCTGGACTGTTCCTTACTTTTCCCTCTTCCTCATCCCCTACACCCGACTGGGATCCCCCACATTGTAACCCCTCAGCCTTCTCTTCTAATAAAGCACACTTCGTTGCTAGACAAGGACACACAGAACGGTGACAGTGGGTTGCAGAAGAGAAGATATCAAAAACTGTGGGGAACTGCTGTTTCCAGCAGGCCACTCCACTCAACATCTTTTGGGAAAGTGCATTTTTTCTAGACACACAGGTTTAAGATTTGAATTCATTCCTGGGTTTTCTAAAAGAGTGCGACTTGATAAATGGTGGGACAGTTCTAGGGGGCACGCAAGGAGGCAGACAGTGGACCATCTCCCAAATCCAGATTGGTCAGCCCGCTGGCCAGAGTGTGGGAAGAGAAGAGACTGGGAGGAAGGAAAACCAAAGAAGCAGATCCACTCTTTCCCTGTGAACATGAACAGTGAATCAAACTGGGGCCGGAATCTCTCCGGAAGCCAGCCCTGTTTGTAAACCCAGGCCTGGGTGGAATCAGTAGTGACCCGCCCCCATCTTCTCCAATCCCATACACCCTCATCATCCCCAAGATGTTTTTGTTTCTAAGTGTTGTTGCTTTATTTTTTTTAAGTTTATTTTTCTTTTGTTGTTGTTGAGCCTGTACATAACAGAACATACACCAACTCAACAATTTCTACATGTACAGTTCAATGTTGTTGATCCGTGTTGTTGCTATTGTTAGTTGTTGTTGTTAGGTGCCATTGAGTCAGTTCATAAGTCCACAGCAACCTTACGCCCAGCAGAGTGGACACTGCCTGGTCCCGTGCCATCCTCACCATTGTCCCTACGCTTGAACCAGTATTACAGCCACAGTGTCCATCCAGAGGCCAAGTCAGATCAGTTTGTCCTTCTAGCAGTCTGTAGTATTTTCCATAGCCTCCCCCAGCACCACAGTTCAAACGCATCGGTCCTTCTTCAGTCTTCCTTCTTCAGTGTTGTGGGAAACAGAAAGATTTCTCCAAGTTGTCTCCCCCAAATATATGCCAAACCTAGCTGCTTACTACACGTGGTAAATGACTACACTTGGAGGTCAACCAAAAGTAGGTCAGGTTATTCTCCCTAAAGGTTATCAATCTAGACTCTAGATTCTAGCGCAATCAGGCTGTATAGTCTGTCCCATCCTAAGTAGGCCCACTCCCTTCTGATATGGATAGTAGTAGATTGTTTCCTTGTAGGGGAGCCCAGGGAGGTCAAGCCCACTCAAGGGTGACCAAGGTTAAGCCGCCATCATGAATCTGGGGTCCACGTTTCTTGTCACATGTATACCCTTAGTCCCTCCCCTTCCTACTGCCTGCACTCCCCTAGCTCATCTCTTTCCTGTCACGCTTATGCCTATTGTACATCCCCTTCCTATGATGTGTATGCCTGTTGTACAGCCCTTCCTATGATGTGTGTGGTTACCTATAATCACACCCCCTAAGTAGATATAAACTAGGTTATCAAGAAATCGTCCCACCTCACCTTGCTCTCCTGCCCTCGGCCCACACTGTGCACTGGTAAGATCATGGCCATCCAGGAGGTGAGCGTGCTACCATGAAATGTGTCTGACTTCTTTGTTTTACTCTCTCTCCTAACTCTCTCATTCTCTGTGACTTTATTATAATCTTTATATATTTTAACCATGCAATTGCACTTACTGAACCTGTGATTCGTTGTGGGGGCTGGCTTCCCCCACACAGTGTCCAACTGTCACTTGCAGATGAGGCAATGGAAAACACCATGGCTTAGATACATACACCTTAGTCCTCACAGTAACGCCCTGGCTTTTCAGTACCTAAAGAGGTCTTGTGCAGCAAACCTTAGTGTTGTTAGGTTCCTTCAACTTGAGTCTAATAACTGACCCTCTAGGACACAATAGAACTAACTGTTCCACAGGGTTGCCTAGGCTGAATTTTATCGACACAACATGATGGCTGCAGCAATAGGCTCAAATACAGTAGCAATTGCCAGGATGGCACAGGTCAGACAGTGTTTCATTTTGTTGTGCATAGGGTCACTTGGAGTCAACTCAAGGACCCCTAACAAGTCTTTCATTATTGATTACACTCTCCAAGTTGTTATAACCATTCTTACCCTTCTTTTCCAAATTGTTCCTCCTCCATTTGCATACACTCACTGGGCCTACGTTTCCTTATCTAATCGTTCAAATTGCTGTTCTCAGTTTGATCCTATATAGATAATTCTTCAGACAAGTGTGATGTTCAAGGCAGACATTGCTACTAAATAAGATAGATGGTTGTCTGGTCTTCAAAAGACTTCGGGGATATTTAGGCTCAAGATTTAAAGATTTATGGAACGAGGGGTGTGCGCCTGATTCCCTACGCATCTCAGGACTCTCATGGAGGATCAGCGCTCCCCTTCCCACAAACCAGCTATCGAAGCAAGATGCTTGTTAAGGCCATCTCCTTCTTGGGGCATAAGCTTCCAGGTCGGGAAAATCTCTGACCCTTCAAAAAGCATCTCTTGATCCATGGCTGGCTTTTCCTGGCTTGGGGATGTCAAGCTGAGCAGTTGTTCTCCTCACAGAACTTCCACAGCAGTGGGGAGCAAGTGTTCGGAGGCAGAAGATGTAGAGATGGAAGGGAAGCTCCATCTCAGGCTTTTGAGTTGCTAATTGAAGATAAGGAGGGGTAAGGGAAGCAGAAAGGGGGATTCTGAGCAACAGGAGCAGCACATGTTCTGGAATAATGAAAGGAATAAGACGTTGTGTCCATTCAACTTTATTTGATTAGATCCAT